CGATGAAAACTGCAGAGCTCCAGTTACAGCTGTAACAACTGGTGCATATCAAGTCTTATAATTTTTTTCATTAATAGGAAATTCCTGATCTGATGTTCCATTTTCTAGCTCCTCTACCAAGCTTCCATGGTTATTAGCAGTCTCACACTGTCACTTACACTCTAAGAGTTCTCACAAGGAGGAAGGAATTAAAGGATTTGCCTAAAATTAATAATTGGATGGAAAAAGGAAAAAAGTATCCAGTTTTTTGAGCAGGTCTTCTCCTCCATTTCTGAGTTTTGCAAAATAATGTAACAGCAGAAAGCTAGGTAGGTTCTCTTCATCAGGGAGAAGAAATAGGTTGGAGTGGGTGGTGGGGAGAAGAGGAGAGGGATAAAAAAAAAAAGGGAAAAAATTAGCAGAGAAACAGAGAGACATAGCTGCAGAAAGGAAAGGCAAAGAAAGAAGAAAACAATTTCCTTTTTTTTTGCTTTTAGGCACCTGTTTTGGATAATGTGGTAATCGTCATCAGTCTTTGGAAACACTTTCTGCTCCCTTTTGGCTACTTGGAGCTATTGAGCACAGTTGATGGGTGACAGCAGAGGCAGGTGACAGCTAACAGGCAAAGAGCTGACAGGTAACAGCTAACTCATGACAAACAATTTTCCAAGGAGCTATGACTTACAAAATAGAGTTGCACTCTGCTTTTGTACTGATGCATCATTTGATCTGTCTCCAAGCTGTATTGGTAGAACTGCCTGTAGAAACTGCTTCCATTGCGGAAGCAGTATTCCTTTGTAATTCATATGTGATCATTAAAAATTGAAATCTCCCTATCGCACAGGGTCATGCGGGTCATTTGCCTAAGGTGGAAAAACATTCCTGTGGAATGAAAATCATCCTTTTTCATGGAGACTTCCTGCTTGAAGGCCCTTTCTTGCTATCATTAGGTGGGGATGAGCGTACCTAGCAGCTAGAGGAAAAGCTTGTGAATCGGGCTCCTTAGGTCTCGTTCTTGCTCTGTTCAAATCATGTCGCTTGTGTTCCTCACAGAACTACGCTGTGATGCTCGACTCCCTGATAGGGAAGTAGGAGGCTTTGATGAGGTCCTGGTGAGCGCTGACTGTGGTGAGATCCTCTGATAAAAGGATCTGCAGAAATTCAGAACTATAGCAGTATGAAAATGAACTATTTAGTAACAGAGTCTCACTGTGAGAGAAATAAAAACCTAACCCTATGTCTTTCTTTTTGAGTTTTCCAGGTCATGATTGTTCACTTCTTTGCATTACTTTTAGAAGATGAACCTCCTTCTTTTTTATTCTTGCCACGAGATAAGGCAAACTTGCCTTGAGATAAGAAGTGCTTAAAAAAACCCCAAACTAGCTGATCTTTCCGTGTATACTTTAAGGGTATGTCTTTACCGAAGATAACCAACCTGACACAGCCATAGGGTAGGAAACTAAGAGTGTATTATCTTGAAACTATCCCTCCCATCTACTCAATTTAGATGACAATTTCTTCACTCAGTAATGGATTTCCTGCCTGTTGTTTCTCTCACTTCAGAAACACTAGCACTATGTAGAGAAAAAAAGCAAAGTCTTGACTAATTGAATTTGCTAAAATGTGTGCTTATGGCATTCAAGAAACAGAAATGTCAGGGAGAACAGAAATGTTTGGAGAGAGTTATTTATGACCAAGGGATATGAATGAGTGCAGAAGAGATCTGGTTGGGAACTGTGGAATCAAGACTTAGAGAAAATGTTCAAAGGATACCAGCATCAGAAGACAACAAAGTAAAGCTTTCAGGATTAGCTGGAAGATTAGGACACTGCTGGAAAACTGGGAGGAGTGGTTACTGCACACTTGCTTTTCATGCCTTTCTTTCTTGCTTTGGGCCTAACAGCTTATGGTTTTTAATTCTTATTTTGTCTAGGTAGCTGGCTGAAAAAGGGTTGTGTACAATTTCCAGTTGCCTCTTGGACAGAACTCAAATGTAACTAAACCATTTAAATGCAGGCTTTAGCATAACTCCAACCTACGAGTTATCAGCTCTTCCTCTGGTGTAGCATATGCTCCTGAACATCAGTAAAAGATTAAAAAAGAGTTCTTGTTGGTCAAGGAAGTACACAGAAAACTTGTAGAAGGCATCCATGAATAGTAATGAATCACTTTTTATTCTTTTATTGAATGGTGTAATATATCTTTTGGTGTAATATATCATCTTTGGGGGTGTAAGGTAGTCTTTGTACTTGACATCAGATCTATATCCCCACAGTTTTATGAAGGGCAAACATGCATTGAGCTTATTTGCTTTCATTAATTAGGGTAATTCTGTAAATATAGAACTCTTCACGTTGGGGATCAAGATGAAAGCAGACGCCATATAAATATGACATATGCATATGGCATGTATTACTTTTTATTAATTGTCTTACAAAGATATTTGTTTCACTGCAGGAAGTCTGTAATCTGTGCTTTTCCACTCGGCTTGATATCTTTAACCACAAAAGATGGTTCTGACTCTGCTGAATGGAAAGCACAGATTTTTGCTAAAATACTTCACCTCTAGAAAGTACCTATATGGGAAGCAATTGCTTGCAAAGGGATTTCCGTTGCTTAAAGCAGTATATGAAGTCAAGAGTGTTTTCAGTAGAGGTGCTGAGCTAGATAAAACCCTTGTTAACTATGTAATCTTTTCTTTCTCCTTTAATTTATTTTTATAGTCCCAAATCCCAGCACTTTGGGGAATAACATTTCAGCTCTGGCAAATCTTTCAATTTATTTGTCACCCTAGCCCTTAATGCACAAGGAAAAGTCAAAGTAAAAGAGAAGAGACAGAGGTAGAGATAGAGACAGAGATAAAGAGAAAGATGTTTGAAAATTATTTCCAAATTCTGCTCAAATCTAGTCCTACTTCTTTCAAACCTTTTTGGCCTGCTCCACACTGTATCCTGATCCAGATTTCAAAGAGTTTTAAAGTTTCAAAAAGTATAGCCTCTGTTTGTACGTAGTCTTGAATACTCTGTCCAATCAAGAATTACATCTGGAGCAGAGGAAGATGCTACATTAGTAAATAATAGCAGCCAGCATGGGCTACATGGTGTTTATAAATACACTGGCAAGCCCAGTTCCTACAGTTTACCTAACAGTTTATAATTGCAGATCAAATACTTTTTATATGGTGTCTAACATAAGTTCTCAAATCCATATTTAGGGGGAATAAGGTCTTTGATATTGCTGAAAAAAGCCACCAATTTATTTAAGTACCTAGATATAAACTTGAGATCTTAATTTCAGGCATCTACTAAAGAAAAAAAACCAAAACAAACCCACAACAAAATGAAAAAAGGTATGGAGTATGGAAAGTGAGTTTTAAGGTGACAATCTCTACTGAAAGAAGTTCCACTTAATAGACCAGAGTGGCAGAAGATGGTGGCACTGGCCACAGTGGCAAAGAATTGAGGAATCTGAGATGCAATTTAGGAACTAGGTTTGAGTTAGAGTTGATGTAAAATGAACCTTGGTGTTTCTCTGGCATATTCAACCTACTAGGGACTGGAAATATCAAAACCAAATGGAAATGCTGATGCTGTAATTAAATGTTCAAGGCAAGCAACAGCAGCACCAACCCAGTGCCTGGGACAATAACATAGAATCATAGTATCACGGAGTCATTTAGATTGGAAAGGACCTTTAAGATCATTGAGTCCAACCATAAACCTAATACAAGTCCCACTAAAGCATGTCCCTAAGTGCCATCTCTTTTAAATACCTCCAGGGATGGTGACTCAACCACTTCCCTGGGCAGCCTGTTCCAATGCTTCATAACCCTTTCAGTGAAGAAATTTTTCCTGATATCCAATCTAAACCTTCCCTGGTGCAACTTGAGGCCATTTCTTCTTGTCCTATCGCTTGTTACTTGGGAGAAGAGACCAACCCCCACCTGGCTACAACCTCCTTTCACGGAGTTGTAGAGAGCGATCAGGTCTCCCCTCAGCCTCCTTTTCTCCAGGCTAAACAACCCCAGTTCCCTCAGCTGCTCCTCATAAGACTTGTGCTCCAAACCCTTCACCAGATCCGACTATCCCTACGCATGCTAAAGAAATTTGTACATTCCATTATGATTATGATAGTTTAGGTTTATCTCTATGTCTCAGGGCCCAACTAATTTTAATGGGCTAATCCGGATCAGCGGCAGTGCAATATTTTATGTGTAATTTATAAAGTAATTTAGTCTATAGGCTAAAGTAATTTATAAAATTAATTGAAAGGTGGTATGTGCAAGTAATAACTGCTATGAAAAAGCTTTCATTAAAAAACCAAACTATTTTGAAGCTTTGATCTTAATAAGCATAAAAGCTCTGGACAATTTAGAATAACATTTTTAGCTAAAAAAGGAGTAAATAATAAGTTTAACTCCTTTTACCCTTGTAGAAAATATGTGGTACACCCCTCAAAAACATGAAAAATAAAATCAAGATGGGAATCTTTATGACTCAGTATTGTTTGGCATGGATCTTTAAATAATACTTACTACTGCTATGGGTTTCTTTCTAGCTACTGAGGACAACGTGAAAACTTGTCAAAGTCATTTTTATAAAAACAAATAAATCCGAAATTTCTTTAATAAACTTCACTTTAAAGTGAAAGTAAAAGTGAAACAATTTTGTATTGATAAATTCACATCCTGCTGTTGGTTAACTATGAAGAAAAATAGCACAGCAAAACGTGGTGGCATATATACTATTCTTCACTAAGGATTTAACAGACAAAATGAGGAGAGAAAAAACATAAGGGGAAAAACCTATGAAAGTAAAACTTCAGAGGCTAAGCAAGATCTAGGAAAATGTACAAGTGTAGAATTTTTGAATAATTTATAATGGCCTCTATTAACTGGGATTATAGTTGCTTTCTTTAAATTACAAAAGATAATTATGGAAAATTATGTCAGCAGTGACACATTCATAGGCAAAAGCTTAAAATATTAAATGGTCAGCAGGGTGAACAGGGCTTTCACTTACGCCTACTTTCATAAATAGCTCTTGATTTCTCATACAGCTCATATGGGTCAGGTTTTCGCGGATCAAAGGCCTCTGTTGAATCGGGAAATGAACTCCTGTGAAGAGTGGGTGGATAGGGAATATTCTGTGGCATAGCTGGAGCAGATAGGCTTGTTTGAGGGCTGCCTTGATTTTCCCATCGTTCCATCATCTGGAATAAAAACATACAGAGAATAAAGATGAAGTTTTGCAAAAACTGTGACTTCCACAATGAGACCAAAGGCACTGATTTCAGTTGAAGATGTATTTTGTAAAATTAGCAAATCCCTTTGCTGCCTTTTGAGATGAAAGGTGTGTGTTGTGCTGTTTATAAAATGGTTTGGTTAAATTTGCTTGTTAATTTGTTGCTCATGGGAAGATGTGATCTTTCTCAGATAGTATGATCCCGTATGGATTAGGGTTGAGTGTTACCCCTGAGGCATGTCGAGTGCCTCTCCCAGAATGCACTGAGCTATTGGAAATTATTCCGCTAAAGGCAGAATCTGTGGGTCTGTGAAGATACAATTTACAGATTCATCAAAATACGTAACTGAAAGTAGTGCTTATCAAAGAAGTGGCCAGATGGGGTAGCAACTGAATGATCTTAATGCTGTATCTTTTAAGATGCATGAAAATAGCTAGCTGCTCAGGGAGAGGCAGATTACTGTAACTGTGAGCAGAATTTACAGCATCAAATTGAACAACAACAATAAAAAACCCCCAAACCCACAAAGGGAAAATTATTACAGCAGGTATTTGAGCATCTAGTGATAGCTGAATGTTCAATGATAAAGTACAGAACATGATGAGAGAAAAGTGAGGATTAGTCTGATGTCTTTTTCATTTCTTACTGTTTCTTATATAAAAAATGACATTGGCATCATCCAACTAAACTCTCAAGCACAGGATAAGCTTTTCAGCTCTTCCAGACCACTTAGAGTAGAGAAGTACACAGCAGTGTATCGTCTGTGCATGAAAGCCACCACAATCCATATTTTCTCCAAGATTGCCCTCAGTGGTCTCACAAGTACACCAAGTCAGAAAGCAGATAATAGGATTGACTGTGCAAAAGAAGACTTGGGGATCTGCATTTTTCTTTTTGAAGGAATTGGCTACTAATTAAATTTCATTAGCAAATATGTTTGAAGAGGCTAAAAGTCAAACAAAACCAAAAGTTTATCCCAGGAAATTAATATTTGGCTTTTCCTGTGACCCCTCCTGAAGGAGGATGGTAAAGCCTCCAGAACAGCGTCTTCTCGCACATAATCCAACAATCAATTAGACAAAAGGTGACTCTTGGAAACAAACTGGACTGTAATTAAGTACCACCAACTTCTAGTGTTGTATCAGCAACGCCTTATCAAAGATGACTGCAGGTTTACAGCCAGTTTGCTCCACAAATTTTGTGGTTATCCTTTGCCTCTAGTTCCTTGGTTCCAGGAGCTGTTTGGCTCCGCAGGTCGGCTTTGCTCTCTATTCTGATGATGAACATCATCAGGCTTTTTCCACATCAAGTATATGTGGACTACAGATGGTTTAGAGTCCTCCTGGTGAACGCTGAGTACCTATCACTCTGCACATCCCAGGTGATCCGACACTCAACTTCACACTTCAAAATAAACAGAATATGGCTATTATTTGCCATTTTAAGTTGTTGAGGACTTCTTTTTTTATACAGAGTAGTGTTATAATTCAAGCTGTGCTTCTGTCAGAGTTTCAGTAGTAAGTAGGGCTGATTCATCAGAAACAATGAAGAAAAGAAAGAACTAGGTATCTCAGTCAATCATGGGATGACTTTCATGCTCTAGTATGCATTGGGTGTGATATTTAAGTTGAGAAAGGGAAGTGTCAGTGCTATGAAATGCCAATGAAGATATGGAATACTATATTCAATATTTGCCAACATTGTTCAAGACAGACACATTTATTTTGGGTCAGATACAAAAGATGGTGACTGGGATGTGAGACAAGAGTGCACTATAGGTATGCAGAACCTGTGCAGCAAAGTGACATATGGAGATACCTGAGTTTTCATCGAAATAGCTTAGGTACAGGAAAGTACCTAGGGTACCTTCATACCAAGGTAAGTTTATCCTGTGAGTTGGGTAAATTAGCCTATGTGGCAAGTCACACAAACGTCACAATAATATATCTGATAGTTCTGGCTCTAAAGGAAATACCTCAGGTATATATAAACATATATAGAGTATATCATTGTATCATGGAAGTGTTAATTGAAAGGTCTCCAGAAACAAATCTCATTATGACTCCTACATCTAAATAGAAAGGGAGAACTGGGCTCAACACAAGTTCCTTATGATCAGGGAAAATAATGAAGAATTATGTTTAGTTTTTGCTCTCAGTGAGGACTCTAAAAGAGAATACAAGTCAGTGAAACCAAACTGTCTATCTTATTGCTATGAAGCAGAAAGACATGTGGGGCCCTGTCTGTATCATAGAAGTGAAAGTTTCCTAATTTCTTGGACAGTGCCAGAGAAATAGAACACTTACCTCTTTCAAAACGTGAAACTGAAAAAATTTAAAATATTTAAAGAAGGTTTTAAAAAGAGAAAGGAAAATGCAATTGTTTTTGATAAGCAAACTTTTCCCTGGAGGAAGGACAAGAAACTGGATATTAATTGGTGAAGCTCTACTGAGTCCCATATGTCAAATTCTTGCTTGCTGGTTAGCTCTAAATCTTTAAGTGTGAAGTTAAAAATCAAATAAAATAGTCTTACTTCGGGGTAATACTGCCACAATAAATACATGAACAGATAAACACAAGGGTAATTATATCTCCCAAACCCATATCAAGTAGTTAAATAGGCACATACTATTTTGCAGTATGTGAGTTATTATAATGCTAGCTCACAGATAAAGGCACTCTTGGAAATGAGTAAACATGGTATTGAGTGCAGTGCAGCACATCTAAGTCTGGTAATGGTTTGGTGACATTGCTCAGGTTCATTTTGCACTAATCATATTGTATTACATATGATATATATAATATATGCACTACATACTTAGAAATCAGAGGAAATTTCAGTCAGCCTGGGTTAGTCTGGGATGTGGAGCACACTGAGATGCAGCGCACACCATCCCTCAACCTCTGCCTCAGGGAGAGGAACTTGTCTCCTCTCCTCTTCCAGCCAATGGCCCGTGGTCCACTTTTTGCTTTAATGGTGGTTGCTTCTCCCCTGTGCAGCCAGAGGGGCAAAGGTGCAGCAGTAGTCACTCAAGCAGAAAAGAAACCCGGTTTTGGGCCATCTACAGTTTTTCTATCCTGTTACACACCTACAGGGCTGTGCTGTGGTGTTGGGAAGGGTTTCTAAACCTGCCGGTGCTGCCCTTACTGCTTCAGACTCTCTGCAGACAGTAGTATGGGGCACTCGGTTTCAATCTTACCTTCATGTCATGGGCACCAGAAATTTATGTCTGATTATTTTGCTAGTTAAAGTGGTGACAGACAGAGGCATGCACACTACCTTAACCTGGTTAATCATTTGTAAAGTCTCTTGCTGAGATTACCCTAAACAGGCTAGGTGAATGGTTAGCCTGCATGCAGGTACAGTCTCTGCACACGATGGTGTTGTATTATTCTGTGAACCCTGGTTTCCTCAGACTATTGCATGAATAACTGCATGACTCAGGTTGTTTCTCTAGATTCTGATTATTGGGCACTGCCGCTTGAGTATGAACTACTATACTGTCTGTATAACAACACTGTACAGACAATCATCAACAATATGCTGATATTTATATATTTATACATGTCAGTGAGTACTGACAGTGAAAGGTCTTCGAATGTGGATCTTTAATAAGTAAGTTCCAAGTTCTCTATTTCATCACTTTTTACCTGAGATTGCTGATATTGATATATTTATACATTTGATATGTATGTAAAGAGGTAAGTACTGACAGTGAGAGGTCTTCGAATGTGGATCTTTAATAAGTAAGTTCCAAGTTCCCTATTTCATCACTTTTTACCTGAGATTAAAAGTTGAATGTCCCAGTTGGACAGGGACCTTAAACTGATGAGAACAAGCTAGCCCTTAATAGTCAGATTTATTTTCACAAATGTGCTGCTACTTAGATGAATAAACAAACCTATACAATACTTATTCCAATGTATTGCATCCATCCTCTAGCCTTTTATATCAAAACCACCACAAGCTGAAGCAGTCTGATGGCATCAGCTGATTAATTAATTGCTATTTGTACTTGACAGGCTACAAAAATTATTTTGGTATGCATTAAACATGCCATGATCCAATATGAGAGGATGTGAAATTGTCCAGATTCAACACCCTCCCCTCCCAATAAGAAAGCTATAAATCCTTTAGAAAATGTTGCTGCTGTTATTCCTATTGCTCTTAGAAGCCTTCAGGCAGAGTTAAGGCTCTTTTCTTCCTCTACACACATCTAATGAGAGATAAGCGGTACTTTAAGGTCTTTACAATCTCAATAAAAAAGCCAAATTAAAACAAAGCAGAACAAACCAAAACAAAATAAACCAGTCAACCAAAAATAGCAGCCTATGATTTCTTTCTACACTGTGAATGTTGTCACAACTTCAAAAAATGATATAATGTAGTGTCAACAGAATAAATACAGTCATTTCTTACAATCTGACAGTAGGAAAGGTCTTCATACCTTGGATTTAATGTGAAAATCTTAGAAACACAGAAATGTTTGTTAGAAGGCACCTCAGTAAGTTATCTATTCCAAGCTCTCATTTGAAGTGTGACTATTTCCAGCACTAGATCTACTAATGCAAGAAAGAACAACAGTCACTTCAAGGATGTCAAGCTCAAGCCACTTGTAAACCAGAAAGAGTGCATGGTGTCCCTTTCAAAGAGATTGCTAACCACAAAGCCAGCTAGACTGGCCTCATTGCTGGGGCCTTCTTCTGCCTTCTCCTCCAGACCTTTCATCTTTGAGCCACTGCATTTCTGGTTCTTGACACCCATCTTAACATTGAGATGTTCCTTTCTCCAGACCACTGCTGACAGACTTGAAGTCAACAGATCTGCAGAACTTATTAGTGAAGCCACCCCTGATGCTGTCTCACCTAGAGTTGGGGCACTGCTGAGAGGTGTCTCATGAGCTGGGAACAGGAGGGTTAGATGAAAGTTTACAGGAATTTGCTTTGAATGATAGTCATCTTATGAACTCAATGTGTATAATTTTGAAAGGGCACTTACAGGCTTTGGAGTTTTCCATGGAGAAAAGAAACCTGAAATAAACAAAAAATAACGTTAGCAGATTTTTCTGATGCACAAAGAGTGGAGGCTAAGTGGTATCTATGCTCCCATACTCATTCAGGTCTGCAGATAATATTGATATATATGAAAATTCTCTACACACAAAGGGTGAAAACACAAACCACAAGGGATAATTTCTAAGAAAAAAAAAATATGCAAATATATATATATGTGCATATATATATATATATACGCAAGTGGAGCTATTGAGATCATTGCCATACTTTACAAACAGCATGGGATTAGATTGAAATTAAAAGAACTAAACAAAAGGACTTCCAAATGTCTTGGTGGACATTGGATAAGACACCAAATGACCTGGTATTGATGTGTCAAATGCAGTTGCACCTTTAAGAAGAAGCAATTCAGAACATTCCATCAACAAAACCTAATAATACAAGAGATTTTTTTAGAAGAAAAACCTGGAGAAAAATATCTGTTTCACCTGTCAGAGAAGGTAGCCAAATAGTGGGAAAGTTGTTTTGATACTGTCTTTTTTTGGGGGGGGCATCATAGTTAGGAAGTGGTCAGACATGACTACCTCTTCTACACAACCAGTTATCTCCTTTTCCTTGGTTATTGACTGACAACTTACTTTAGGGACTTTCATGAATTTCAACTATTGTAGCTTACAAACGTTTCAAACTCCAGATATGTCCTTTTCATAAAAGGAGATAATTTGAAACTCTCATTGTAAACACTGTTCTTATGCAGCACAATATTAAAAACTTACAAAACATTAAATAGAAAGAAGCATTTCAAAGGATATTGGTTCACATTTTTTAAAATAATACCAGCTTTCAGCATAGCTTTCATTAAAAAACTCATTCTCAGTTTAATAGCAGGTAAAAAAAAAAGTCTGTGGACCTTCCTAATTAAGACTTAATAACAAAGAGTTCATTTGTTTTGTCAGAAACAGAAATGGGGCTTAAACTGAGACATCTAATAGGAATGTTGTTCTTTCATTCAAAAAATTAATTAAGCTGTAAGAGTAGTAATGACTTCATTATTTCTTTTTCTAAGGTGAGTCTAGAAAAAATTAAAATCATGAAAACACTAGGGAAAGTATCTTTCTACAGGCAAATCACAACAAGAATTATATTTGTACATTGTATTTAAGGTTCCTAGAATTCTGTGATAATGAGGTAATTTTTTCTGCCATGATATCTAATTCATTTAGACTGAAAAAATCTTGGAGTGAAAAAGCACTTGAGCCAGAGAAATACTGGCTGTTTTGTAATGCTGATGTATAAGCTGATAGTACTTTTAAACAAAAAGTATACTGGGAAAAGTAATCCTGGAAAGGTTGATGTTTACTGACTCTATAGTGTCTGGATAAAAACTGCTATATTGACAAGAAGAAAAATTTCTTTCCATCTGCAAATTCAAGCTAAGATAACAGGCATTCTGTATAGATCTGGCTTGTACATTACCTTCAGTATTAAGTATTCTGTAGTAGAAACTTATTAAATAACTTCTTGGATGGCAGATGGCTACCTTTTTATTACCTGCTATTGTTCTGTACAGCTAATAAGAGTGAAAGTTAAAAAACATTTTTCCCCTTGGAGCTAAAGATAAGACTTGAAAATTGCACGGAAGTTTGCTGAAATGTATCTCAAATCAACTCACTGCTCTGATTTGGTGTTTGGAAAAAAATAGTGGAAATGACACTCCCTCCCCATTGGTGCGTTGGGTGCACCTCCCATAACTTATTGTCAGCAAAATTACTCCAGGTCAAACTGAAAGGTCACTTTTTCCTATTTATTTACTGTCTCCACCTAAAAATAGGTTTTGCTGGAATTACCAGAGAATTTTACTATCAATTAAAAATAAAATTTATAAATAAAATAAATAATGACATATACATCAAATGAAGAGTAAAAAAAACCCCAACCCCCAATGAAAAAAAATTCAATTATTTGCCTAAACAAGGAGAACACTGACTTATATATCGCTTGGAGGCTATGGGCACAGACTGCAACATACAAATGACAGCATCTACACTCAAAACAAATAAAAGGCAATATTTATTCTAATGGCATGAAATTAATGTTAAGAAAACTAATGGATATAGGATGCCACGGAAGTAAAAGATCCAAAGCAAGATTTGAAAAAAGTATCGGATATCAATATGTATACAAAAGTGTGTTAGAAGCAAAAATCTCTAAAGGTAACAAACCTCTGAACTCATATTAAAATCCATTCTTCAGATTTAAATTCAGCTATTAGACCAAGGCCTCATGTAAGATGACATGGTCTCTCACCTATGTCAAAGACTGGGTGCTAGACTAAGCAGATGAAGGCCTAGTTCCATAAAGCAAACCCTATCTTATATCTTTCATGTATTTAATGGCAATTTTCATGTTGCCTCACATAACATCTCTATTCTCAGCTGATCTAAACACTCTTTTTCCCATTCTAAACAAAACTGACCTTTAGACTACATATGGCATTATCGGTTATTCAACATGAGACTGATTATGGGTAATTGTTGTGAACCAAACGTGTCCAGAATTATTACCAGTATTATGAATACATGCAACCATTGCTGCAAATTCAAGAATTCAAGAGTTTAATACATATGTAGTACATTCTAAATGTAACAGAAACTTCACATGAAAAAGCATAAAAGTAAAATGTGCTTTCCTGTGTATTCTGTATGCTTCCTTCTAACTTTCACCTTTAAATACTGTTCTGCAAAAGTATGGGACCAAATCCTCTACATGTAGAAATTCGAGACTCAGAAGATCACCTGAAGAATATATCTTAACAAAGTGTATTTAGTGCGTAGTCAACAGTGTTGGCCTTCTGCAGCCACGTCTACAGCTGGCAAGGAGAAACAGCGGACTTTCACTTAGATTGACCTCATTTCACACCACCACATTTTCCCTTGACTTTCTAGCACTGATTCATTACCTACTGTGGGTATTCCCCACCAGTGACAGTGGGACCCCACTTGAACGACAGCCACCAGCAGACTGGCATCAATCCAGTACTGATTCACAGACAAGGCTGGAATTTGTTCTTCAAAGAGTGCAGCTTTCAACTTTGAGTGTTAATAGAGTACTAACACTGCTCAACCTTCTAATCAACTCACATCTAACTAGGCACACATACTGGATAAGCTCTTATAGCCTTCTTATCCCACTTCCATATTTCCTCTTCTTCCTCTTCAAACTCCTAACCTCTTACTGTCCAACTTGTGATGTCTCCTGTGCAAACCTGAGTAGCTGAGAATATTATATACATATGCATATGAACACCCCTCAGCCCCATATTCACATACACTTTTAAAATCTGAAATAATAAAAGCCAACTTAGATCCACAGAAGTGGTGGCTCACTTTCTGAAGACTCCCATATCTTTCTATTAGTTTCAAATAAGTCTTTATTAACACTTTTTATAAAGACAGCAGTACAGATCTGAATTAGTTTTGGAGAGGAGAGTGGGGTTACTGGGTTCTGCAAAGAGCAACCACCACCACTCAGCCAGATGCTAGCAGGAAAATAGTATGGCCACCACCTAGTATAATGTAATGTAATGTATAAGCATGCGAGTATAAATTATATAACCTCATATACTTCTCCAAAGTTAGTTTTGAGAATATAATGATTTATTTTTCAATGTCAGCCATTTAAACTGTAACAAGGTAGAGCAGCTGGTGGCCAACACCTTTACTGAAATTTTAATTGTTTCTTTTTAAATAAATAAGCTGAGGTACAGTAACAACCATACACTTTTTAAAAATCAGAATTACATTTTCTCATAAAGCAGTGTTAGAAAAATTATTTTTGATATTACTTTTTAAATTATATTTACCACCTTCCAAAATGAGCTTCCCGGGAAATCAGAGCTGTGATGGTTGTTGTAAGTTTACTAAAACCCACCAGTAACAGTAAAACAGATTTTGAATTCAAACGTATTTGGGGAAAAAAAGAATTGTTTTTTCTTTTTTTTCAGATGCCCTCAGATGAGGGCAAATTCCAGCTTCAGTTTACTGTACTTGTCCTTTTTGATGAAGATATGCTATAACAACCAGCAAATCCCATCACACTCCTATCTATTTCTTAAATACAAATTTAAGTATGTTTTTGTCAGGAAATTTGCTTACAGATTTCAAATGTCTTACACTTCAGCCAATATTTATTGTTGGAAAGTTTAGTTCACTAAATGCAGCTTATCAGATAGGATATAGGGCATTTGCAAGATACAGTTCTGATATTTTTTTTTTTTTTTTTTTTTTTGCAGTAAACCCCCTGAAGTCTGCATATTCCATATTGTCAGTAATACAAAACCAACCTTTGGTTATTAGTCTGCTGCCATGTACATGTTTTTTGCTAAATTTCCATCTCCGTTATTTTTTTCCAGCCAGTTTCCAATTTCCTCACCAGTTTTCAATTTCCTCACTATTTTTCACTGAGTTCTGGAAAAGTTCTTAAGACATCGTAAATCAAAAGTAACTAACCAAACCACAGAACCTTCAGTGATGTTCACCTCTGTGGTAGACATGTATGTATAATTAAACTGAAGCCTGGGAACAGTTTGATTTCTGCAGCGACGATGTGTGGTAGTGCTGCAGGGAGGAACTCACCAGCATCACAGATAAAGCCTTTTCATCCAAAGCAATGTTCAGGGCACGTCAACTTCCCTCCACATCACTTGTCGCACTGATGACACAGCAAGTGTTTTGCCCATTAGCTTTTGCTGGGCTTCGTGGGGGTTTTTGTGCTATAAAAGCCTTGCTGCATATGGCTTCCTGAGCAAAGCTGTCCCAAGCACTGCACAGACCTGTCTCACGTAGATGCTTGGAAGTCAATGAACAGATGGCTGATGAGCACTCCCAGAGCATTAACTGACTCCATGGGCATCTTATCAACGTCCATGTGACAACACTTCAACAAAAGTTTTCCTTTCTAGAAAAGTTACTGTGTAAATTTAGTGTAATAGGAGATTTTTTTTTTCTCTGTGCTTT